GGAGAAACCAAACAGCCACTCCATAAACGCAAGGCACAACATCTGCATCTAAAAGATAAAGGCCAATCTTTCGAGGATGCCAGTGTTCACATTTTGGACAGATGGTTTGAAAGAGGAGTGAAAGAGGCCACCTATTCCCTCTGTGAATGACCATCTTTGAACAGGGGGGTGGCTTACAACACCAACTGTCTTCCACCTACAATGCAGTTTTGAGATCCTCAGGATTCCCATATGCTTGTTTGCCATTCACCTAGGGACCATTTTTGATCCGAGGACACCACAAGGGGTGCCCACTCACAACTTGTGTCAGGTGATCTCAGTAGGTCACATGGTAGGGCAAGTCAAGGTCTCACAATGGGTTTTCACACCTTGGCTCTTTTGATGAGGCACATGATCAATAGTGGGTCAATGACCCTTTTAAAGGAACAACTCCCATTAGGGTTTAAATACCTGATTTCGTTTTAGTACTGATGAAGCTTTTCAGATGAGAGGTGAAACGCTTTCAAGAAACCTAAAGAAGTCCAGTCGCTTTTCTTTCCAGGCTCCTCAAAATCTGCCATATTTATTCATGTCTGATGACTGCAAAAATCATAGCATACAATTCATATTCTTTTTCTTCAAACTCATCAATCGTTTGGTGGCACAAGCACTTTGTTTGTGCCTTTATACATGTGTATAGGCATATATGCCAGTCTGTATTTGTGAAAATTGGTCTATTAACACCATGAAACTGGGTGGCATAAGACAACATGAGCATAAACAAAAAAAACACCAGCCAAACCCACAAGCTAACACCTTGTCATGTGGATCTTTTGTTCAGATAGCTTTCATTGATGGGATGCTGCCAGAGCTGTCCTCTTCCCTTAAGAGGATGAAGTCATTAAGCAGAATGGGAGGGAGAGAGAAATAAGTACATGAAAACAGATTTTTATTTGTATCCTTAGAAAGCCTCCCTCTAGTTAACATTGATTTTCTCTTGCTGCCAGTTCATTTTCAGAGTGTTCTACTTCTACTTGGCTCCATCTGTGAATTTCTTCTCGTTTCTTCTCCCCCTATACTTTCTTCCCGTTTTGTTTTCCCTTTGCGCTTCCTCATTTCTGTCTTGTTCCGCTCATTTGTAAAAGAGCCAACTGTCTACATTCATCAAACGGGAGGAAACTTTATTGCAAGTAGCGTGCAACAGTCAACCATCAAATATGTATATCCTTGTACTTCTTTGATCATAATCATCGTTTAATGTTTCAGTCAAGCTGTTTTGTCTGCTTCCTCGTGAAGGCACAGGGGATGTCTTTATTTTATCCTCTTTTTCCTTAACATAAAGGTCCCTCTGGCACTCGTGGTCTGTTTGCAGTGGATGGTTGATCTCCTTTCCTTTCATGCCAGTGTTATTCCATTTTATCCTCAACTCTCCCAGTCTATGTATGTCTTCCTCATTGCTTTTGCCCTATCTGGATCACATTGTGCAAGCTGCTTCTATTGCTCTTTCATCCACATCTCTGCCTTAGTTTCTCCCGCTCTGGCTGTCTCCTTTCTCCTTCCCTGTGTGTTCATCTCTCGAGATTAGTTTACACTGTAGCATAAATTAGAGCTGAGATTAGAAGGTCATGTTCCATGAGGCAAAGTTGCACAGTTAAGCCCCCCAAAGAGAGCCTTACATAAGATGGGTTACCTATCTTACCAAGCACTGTGTTATCTTCTTCGGCTGGGAACTTTTGTGGAATCCTCTCTAAAATAATATTAATGTTTCAGTCGAATTTTATAACCTAAAATGATCCTGGTTCTCATTGTAAGACAATGTAAGATAATAAGTTGAACTGATGCAATTTACTAATGTGTATTTTCCTCACTTCAATGAAACAGAGGACTGAAATCATAATTAGTTCTGTTGTAAGCTCTTATTATAACTGCTACAGAGCACATTCATGCTAAGTGTGTTTGGAAAGGTTTGTTAATACAGTGGATATTGTTTTCTCTGTAGTTTGTTAGATGTGCGGAGTATAATTTGTGGCAATAAAAAATACATGCAATAATTGATCTTAATTAAGCTCTAGTTTAAAATCCTTTTATACAAAACTGACATGAAATGCGGCGCTTAAAAAAAATAATATAAAATGCATAAGCATAGCTAAGTAATGTGAGAACTGGAGATGACTTTTTCTCTGAAACAACAGATAATAATGGCTCTGCTACTGAAAATAGTTACTAATAATTAACTGAAAGTGAACTGCTGTACGCCCACCTTTACTTGACATATTGTGCCTTATCAAATAAAAGTAAAATTTATATACAACAAGTAAAAGTCACTTACGTAACTTTCCAGTATCTTTATAATTTCACCAGATAACAGGACATTAACCCTTTTCTTTTTTTTTCCATTTGCCTACATAATCCGGTCGTTAAGTGATGACGTGACGAATCCTACTTCCGGGCCTAAAGTAGTCTGCGTTTAATATGGCTTTTGTGTTGTTAACATTTTTAATGTTTTGCACTTTCTTCTATTTAATCTCAAAAAGCTCCTAAAACAGTCAGTGATCACTGTTGACCTCCCTCGGCTTTTATTACCGCTAATCATTTATTTAAGATCAGTTTTTAAAACCTTAGGATGTAACTACAGCCCAGCCCATGCAGCAGTATATGAATGACTAACCTCGTATTGTGGATGGATTATCTCAGTTGTTCTCCTGGCTGAAGTTTGGTCCTTTTACAGCATCCTGCTATGCGATTACATTTGTTCCTGACCACCAAGAACACTCACGTTAACTTTTATCGAGTGGAAAAAAAGTTAGCTTGTTTATATTATGCTAACATAGCTGTGTCGCTAGCGGTCACGTAGCACATCATTATATACAAGCTAGCCAAACTTCAGTAACCCTACAAACGTCACTGCTGTTTAGTTTTCTGTCTTCATTTATGCTGGAAGTGATAGCAGAGCTGTACGTTTTAATTTGTTTCCAAAACCCGGCAGTCAGGACATGCTATATTGTATTTAGATAGAAGCTAGCTAAATTCCTGCTAACTTCTAACGCCGTTAAATGTCATAAATTCCGTTTTCATGGATGCCTGGATGTTAAATTCAATTGTTACACCTGGTAGAGCAGAACGCTGGTCATTTTATTAAAGATGAAAGACTTTAGACAGTTTTTCAACTCTCAGTAATGCCATAGTGATCGTTTGATATATGGACCTGCAGCGGAGTTTAGGTCCAGACACGGCTAGTGACGTCAGACTTAACGACTGGATTATCCTAGCAACTGCCCATCCTCAAGATACTGACTTGTGGTTAAAATGTCCATGGGTGAAGTTCATTAGGTTTGTTGTTATTAACATTTTTGCAGTGGTTCCCCCATGTTTTATTTTGGCGAACTCTGTGTCATCACTTACACTAATGACATGATCCCTTATACGCAAGTATTCTTACACCGCTGTGTATGTTTTGCACATGCTTGAAATGAACCTCATTACCGAACCACTAATATGTAAAGCTGATCAACCGGTCACTGATCTGGGCAAAGAATGCTAAAAATAGGTCCTTGCCGGTTGATCGATAGATCTCCAGATACAGACGGATGAATAGATGGATGGAGTTGGGATGGTGGCTCATACTTAGCTCGGTACTGGAAGCAAAACTCACTTTTACTGTCTAATAATGGATGTTTCTTTAAAAATGTTTTTAAAGAACAGAATTTTTTGACAAACAGAAATTATGTAAAATGAAAAATATTTTTCCAAACATGTACATACTCTTCAAGAGTTTTATTGAAAAAGAAAAAAGTAATTCCAAAGCTGCACTTAATGTGAATTATTCAGACAAACGTACAAGTTAGTGTGCTGTATGCCAAAATTTTACCTCACCTAACCAAACCACTACACATCACTTTACTTTACAACATTTCTACATTCTGGTGACAGCTGTTGTCCCTGAAATATACATGCCCCTAAAAATAATGGATTCTCTGTTGCAGTGAACATATTAAAGAGGGTGCAAACATACGCAGTGAAGCTTACAAGTGACACTTACAAAGATGTTAATGGAGCATGGAGACTGCCTGTGACTTTGATGGCTGTCCTGTTCTTTGTTTACACTTTGTAAAGCAACAAAAAAATTTCTTCACATATTCCCTCCGCCCCATCATTTATTATTTATTTAGTTGCTGTTGTTAGCATTAATTTAGTTCAGCAGACATGTGATGATGCTATATAGACACATATACACACATACATGATCAATAATTTGTATTATCTTCCCTGATGATGAGTTATTGTGCTTTATTCAAGCCTCTGGCTTTAATGAGGGTTAATACAATCTGCTGATTAGACAATACAGTCAGACAGGAAGGCACACGCATACACAGACACATGCTGCATGCTGCAAGTGAATCATTTAAATGGACATAATGGGCACAGCAGTGTGGGTGTGCAGGCTTGGCTTTGCACTATATGACGTGCAACCATGCAGTCTAATGTTTTGGGAAGGAAAACTGAAACATATACACATAATACGCACACATTTCCCACACATCTTATTATGTGAATGGGAAGTGTCACACCCCAGAGAGGAAGTGGTATTAACAGTGAAGGTCTTTTCCTATTTCACGCTCCAACCATGTGTCTACTAATTTGCATCCCCTACTAACACTTCTACATCTATTGAAATGTAAAAAAAAAAAAAAAAGGGGGGGAGAGTTGCAACGGAAAGTAAGAGAGAAAAGGGAGTTGGCGACAAATCGGACGGAAAAAGGTAGAAACCACAAGTGGAGAAGTGGAATAACAAGAGAGGAGGGTCATTAGCCCATGAATGAATGAGTGAATGAATGAATGGAGAAAGAGTATGTAGTAGGGAATGCACTAAATGTCAATGCACAAGATGGGGGTGAATGGCAATGGTTGCTTGAAGATTTTGCTGCCAGGTGTGTAAGTAACACAAGTGCTGTACTTTGCCATCTGTCCATCGTGAGCACCTGCGTTTCTTCACTCTAAGTCCAGGTGTTTTGTGTCTACAGGTTTCAACCAGCCAGCCTGGTGGAGAGGATCCAAGCTATCGCCCAGAATGTCTCTAACATGGCCATCAGGGTGGAGCAGATATTGCAAAACAGTATGGTGCAAGGCAGAGGTACAGTATCATTATCATCATGGTTTCACCTTCTTGTTTACAATATGTGTGAGTAAAATCCAGCTTATCATTGGTTTCCTTGTTCTGTAGATTGACTACAATTGCAGACAACATCATAAATTAATATACAGCACAGGGATATTACAAGAACAATAAATAAGTATACAGGACACACCTCACTCTCATCCAGCCTGCTCCACTCTTATGATTTACATTAAGAAACTGATTGATTAACGTTGTTACCCCAAAGGGAAACGGGCTTGCATTATGCACAATAAACACACAATTGCGTACAATGTCATTATACACAATAAAAATGTACACATAAAAGAGGAGGGCACTGGCAGACACTTGGTACCAGTGATGGTATACGTGGACTCACACAATGTGAAGAGTGGATCGCAAACATTGCACCACTGCATAAGATCAGCCACTGAAATGTAATCAGTAATTTACAACTTGAAGCACAGCTGAACACATGAACAGCTGTCAGCTTGTGATGACAAATATGCAGACCCACACATGCAAAGGAACGAGGAGAAACAGAAACACACACATCTGTTATTCAGGTGTTTTTTTGTTTTATCACTGACACAAATCAGTTTTCATACCATGTCAGTTAGCAGAGCTTCTGTCTGACACCTTCTGACACAAAAATATTAAAACATAGTAGAAAGTATTTGGACAATGGGTCGTTATACTAGATTAAAATACACAGTCAAAAACACCACCATGAAAAAAATGAGATGTTTGATTTGAGTCAACATCCAGAATCTTCTGTAGTCAGTCATATCAGATTTTTTTTTTTTTTTTTTTTTTTCCAGTAAATTAAAAATCGAGAGAAATAAACTCAGGCTATGGAATCATCACGGAAGCTCTGAAGTGGAGGCGAGGTCATCTCTGTAAATGTCAGCTCTTATCCAACTGTGTGGTTTTTTGTTGTCTTGTTCACAACAGACTTTTTTTTAATCAAAACCGCAGTAATACCAAATATCCGCCCACTTTCCTCTGTTACTTTTTTCTTGAGGCTAATTGCTCAACTCTTTACATGAGAATAAATGAGCATTACTTCTCCTTTTGTTTTCGCCTCTGCATCTGCAGGGACAATGGCACACGCCAAAATGAAAACAGTGCTGCTTTCTCTAATCACAGATGAATTGAAACACTGCTGGCAGACTTTATTATCATACGGCTCAGTGGCGGTTTATTTATCTCGTGGTCAGGCATGTGCGAGAAGAAACAACAGGAGAAATAGAGTTAGAAGACGTGATTAGAATTTCCTTCCCTTCAAACACTGGCAAGGCTTTTATGTTCCATCTAGAAGGGACAGAAGTCAAGTTTTTATCTTGTTAGTTGACCACATTTTCAGTTGTTGCCTTAGTGGTTGCTATTGTAATCACATTTGCAGCCAATCCGTGTATGTTTTCAGTTGATGGAGACAAGCCCCAGGGAAGACTTATGTAGAGAAATGTCTCTTTTTCATTAGGCAAATGGAAACAGACAGAATCTAAGAGAAGACAGATGTGATGGTCCGGAGAGAGAACTAGGGAGAGAAGGAGGGGATTTAAAAGAGAGGGGGAAAGAGCGAGAAAATCTAACTGCAATGGTTCTCGGACACAGTCTTCCCGTCTTCTCACATCGGCAGCAGAGAGGCAGTTAACTAAGTCATTGGAGCAATTAATGCAGTGTGTGCAGCCTAAGTGAGCAGACGTAGTTGCTAGCGTAACTGAAGGATGGTTGGCGGCAGCGGGAGACAGACTGCTTTGTCAGGCCCAGTGAATATTGTGCACTGCAGTAGATATGTTGCAAGGCTGCAAAGGGAAAACCACGGAGATTTATGAGCTCTTCCCAGCATGTATGACATAAACAGTAAATGATTGTGTTATGGAAGGAAGTGAATATTGCTATGAAATTTCCATAGGCAAGTGGAGTGAAGCAGTTACTGTGAGTAATGCTGTAACCTCTTGGTTCTCAGAGGCCAGCCTTTGGGTCAGACGAGTTCACGTCTAGTCATTTTGAGTAAATAAATCGATTAGCAGAAACGAGACTGGAATTTTAAAGAGACTTTGACAAGCTCCATATGCTGATAAATGAGCTGATAGATAGTATTACATTGGCTGATTGCTGTTGGAAATGTTATATTCACTGGAGAATAAATATTCTCATTAGAGCCAACTGATTTAAGTGAACTAAGCCTTCAAGCCTGTAGACTAATGAAGCATCAGTGATTGTGGCTAATTTTACTCACAGCAGGCGTAAGTCAATTGATCATTTAACTGGATATTTACAAATGTAAATATCTTCTGTAAAATGTGAAGCTTATAAATCACAGATTGATGTTTTAATCTGGAAGCAAAAGTTCACTCACTGTGTCTTTTCAGTATTGAGAGATGGGTCGTCAAGTCAGTGTGAAGTGCCGAGAGACCCTCGCTTCCCAGAGTGTCCTGGAAAAGTAGATGTGAGTATTTAGCTGTTCTCTTCATTTCACTGTGTGAAACTGACTAGTTGATTGGGCTTAATGAGGGTATAACTACCCAATTAAATAATAAACTTTAAGATACTATATCTAAAAGAAAAAATAACACGATTTCTATCAACACTAATTTGGTTTTGGCGGCATGGCTCTGTAATGTGACCTCTCCACCCTTCCTCACGCATACATGAAGCACACTTCCCAGCTGTTAGATTTCCATTTCTTCTTCTGGCTTTATGAAAAGCCAGAAGAAGAAAGAAGCACAGAACATAACAGGCGTCAGTGTCAGTAAATATGACACTAAATAAAGAGTTATGATGGGTTTCAAAGCAGCTTGCACCTGTGGTCAGCCTGCTTAAAACCAGCTTTATCAACACATCCTTTAGGAGTTTTACCATCAGCTGATCTTCTACACAGCAGACCAAGCTCCTCTGCTGGTCACACCTAAATCTGGAACTTCCTAATTTTATAAATGTGCAGTTATTAATAGAAAATGATTTAAAAACATTTTGTTACCATTATTTTGTCTTGTTGCAGAAAGACAATTGTGAGTTATTAATTGTTGTTTCTATCTAATATACGTATAGATATGTATATATAGAATATAATTAAAATTATATATATTATATATATATATATAATATATGTATATATATATATATATATATATATATATAATTATATATATTATATAATACATAATATATACATAATATATATACATATATATATGTGATATAATATATATATATAAATATATATATAGTATATATATATATATTGGAGTCAGATGATTAAATCTTTGGTAAGTAATTTTTCTGTTTTTGTGTGTGTACATATTTCTTCCTGTGTGTCCTCTAGTGGATGCGTGCACGGTGGACATCAGATCCTTGCTATGCCTTCTATGGTGTTGATGGTTCAGACTGCTCTTTCCTCATCTACCTGAGTGAGGTGGAGTGGTTCTGCCCCCCACTGGCCTGGAGGAACCACAGCAGCCCCCCTACCCAGCATACACAGCCAGCAAAGTCCCCCAAGAGACAAGTAAGGGAGCAGTAGTGCTATTAGAAACACAGGCTGCCAACTGACACCTGATGAATGTACAATAAACCCACAAGTGATGATGCTTGGCTCACCAGCTCAGCAATGTGAAGATGATGTGTTAATAAAAATCACAAAGAGAATCTGTGCCACAGTTGCTTAAAAATGTGTAATTTCGTAAAATTCTGTGAAATAAGGGCCAAAAAATCCAGAAGAAAGAAGTAAAAATTAGAAATTGCCTGTACTGCCACTCTGTTCATATATATTGTATTGACTGTATTATTTCCAGTACTTCAGTGGTTGAGAATATTTATAGTGAAACATCAAAGAAACAGATTTTTTTTTGTCTCATGACATGAATAAAACATGTTACCAATATGTAGATACTTACTTCTTGTAAGGCTTTTATTGTAACACTTTCCCACGCTGTTGGCACCTAAACAAACATCTGGTCAGCAGATGGAATACTTAAATGTTAATTACTTGCCTCGGTATGAAATGTTCTTGGATGAAACTTTAATTTGTCCCTCAGTCAGTTAGACTTAATAACAAGCATCTCCTGCAGGACAGACAGAGCAGCACTGACTCAAAGATAGCAGCAGGCTCTGCTGATTTCTTGTGTACTGGAAGCATGTAAAGTGCGAGGTGATGTTGCTGGTAAGTTATTTATTAAGATGTGCTTGTTTGGAGAAGTAGCTTTTGATTCCGTGCAAGCCTAAGATAGCAAATGACTTGTAATCCAGATTTCTGTTTGCTAAGGTTTTTACTTTAAGGGTTGGAAATATCTGCTTTCATTCACCTTTCTTGTGTCCTTGATTCAAGACCTTTTTTATTTTTAAACTTAAAAAAATCAAATTTTAAGTTTTGTAGGGGAAAGAAAGTTGAGTCAAGATGGTGGAAAACAGAGTGCCACAGAGGAAAAATGGCTTTAGACAAGCAATATTGTGTTAGTTAACTGCTGGAACTGACAAATAGGGCATGTTTGTACTATAATTATAGTGTTTTCAAAAAATTGTTTTTCTCTCTCTGCCATTTCGTCTGAAAGTGCAGCCTTTGTATTATGATTTCAGGCTGCCGTTAGTAACAACAGAAATGTAAAAAACTAGCCTGAGGTCGGTGAGCTGTTAATAAATGTCCAGAGTAGCAGTCAAAAGAATTTAACAGTCCTTTTCTTCAGAAGAAACCTTACAGTTGAGTAAGGCGTCTGACCCTGCTCACGCCCTATTTAAAGCAGACCTCATCCACGGCTGCTAATACTGATTGATTTTTAATGTTAAAAAATTAATACATAGTCTGACAGCAAACCTCACGGTGCCTTCAGGTGCAAATCTGCGCAGTGGTAATACAGGACTATGGATTTTGAAATTCAAAATAGGGAACAAGGACAGAACTGTGCACTGAATCTGAATATAGTGGCACCTTTCTCAGTCACATTCTCTCACTCAGACCGTATCACGAGTCTTTGAAATAGTTAAAAATGTGATGCCTGCACAATGTTTGCAGTTTCACTTTTCCTTTCTTTTAATAACTGTCTTAAGAGCGACATCTTTAGAAACTAACCGGAATGCTAATACAAATGAAGACCAATCGACTCCCTGACAAAAATAACTGAACTATTTTTGTGTTTTATAAAAACATTGCTGAACCAAAGCTTTTAGAGTAGAAAACTCAAAGTATTAGTTAGAAAGACTGCATTTGCTCATAGCTGCTCCTTGTATATTTCATTGACAGAAGTACTTTAATATTACGTGTGGTACTTAGTACTAGTAACAGTAGTACTGGTACGTAATAGTACGTTATGAGTGTTAAAGCTGACTGAATTTTAGTCCCTCTGTGCTGCAGATGGGAGGAAAAACATGGCAAAATTATTTATTGTTTGGCTACCAGCCTGCATTTGCAGGTATTGCTGAATTACCGTGACATACCTTCATAGCTATGGTGTTTACTGGCAGTATAACCAAAGCTTTGAACACCCATGCTGCTGTAGAATACAAAACAGGCACCACAGAGCTCAAAATGTGAGCCCTGTGCTGCCCAAATCTTACACTTTACCTGATTTTGTTACCAGCTTACCTTTTATATTCTCACATTCCCAGGCTGCCTTCCGTACAGACCTCTCTGTGTTGCTGGACCAGGTTGGGACAGGTAAGGAGTCCCTCAGCTTTATGAAGCGGCGAATCCGGCGACTTGCACAACAGTGGGCAACAGCTGCCAATCGTCTGGATGCCAAATTGGAGCAACAGTGGAGAGACCAGAAGAAGGTAAGTCTTTTTGCTTTGATTATAACAGCATTTTCTTTTAACCGCAGTATCATTTAAGTTGCATTTGAAGCTGTACAGTAGCCATTCATGACAGAGGCTGTGTGTGAGTGAAAGGAAGCCATTTATCCTTGCATACGATAAATGAGGGCGAAGAAGCCAAAGCAAGTAAGGTGATGAAATGATGATGATGAATGATTGGGATTATAGTGATATGTATGCAGTAGTGCTAGAGGACAAAGAGTAAGACGAGAAAGAAAAGGAAGGAGAGGGAGAATGGATTAGCAAAGGACTGTTAAAAATAGGGAAGGTAGTGAGACACGCCTGAGATGAGCGAGACATTAGGCCTGGAAGACTACGCTGCTTGTGGATTAAGGGTACTTCATTAAACTGAAGGTGTAATCTAAAAGCTTACTTTTGCAGCTTAATTTTTTTGGTGCACGTTACTCTTAAAACCACAACTTTTGGTTGTTTATACTCCCCTTGATTTCTCCCTTCTCTGAGCACACTCACACTCTTTTACTTAATGATGAATGAATGCATTAATGTGAGAAGGCAGACTGAGCAAGCATTCTGCGTCCTCTTTCCAAAATATTTCTCTCTGCCCACATCGCTCTCTAAAATAAGTTAACATGGGTGGAAATAGTCCTCTGTCACTGTGATTGATGCTCTTCTTTCTTGTTCTGCACCGAGGGGATTTGTTATCCTCTATCGTGCCTTCGTGGCTGCTTCAACTGTGTATGCCTTACAAAATGCTGCCGCTGCTATCTCAACAGCAGATGTCCTGGCGTTTGTAAGAGTTAGCCTTGGCTGTCTAAAGCTGTTTATCACAATAATTAGAAACGGAAGTTTAAAAAAAAAACATGTGCATCTGTGTATTCCCTGTCAGTCTGTGTGGGTCTGTGTTTATGCTTGACTACTAATTGGATATCATGACAATAAAAAAACAAAATGCCAAAGGCAGCATTTCTTACATTTTATTTAGCATTTAAAGCTCAGTCTTAACCAGAGACGCACACTTTTTTTTTTTGACTGTTAACGCTCAAGATTGGTTTCCATTGAAATTTCAAATTAAGGTCACTCAGTAGTCTGTTGAGGGAATCACTGCCTGATTTTAAATGACTCTGACCCTGAAAAAGAAGCACTAACATTTGTCTTTGACACGATCCCTGTTCCCATTAGCAGGACCGTGCCTGATTATACCATCTAGAGATGCACTGATTGCAATTTTCTTGTCCGATTCTGATTTTTCCTTAAGCGTGACCTGCAGATACAGATTTTTACAAATTCAGATTTTCTTTCTAAGCATGTACAAACAAAAATCAAGTTTTATTCAGGGAAAATGTTTATTTTCATAATAAAATAAATGATTAATCTTTAAAAATTTCCCCAAACTGCAGTAAGTTGACATAGTTTCCTTTACCAAACAAAATTAGGTGAAACTCATTCCCATTACCTTGGCTCTTGCCAGGGCTGCCTGCTTGTGGATGAGTCAGAGCTGTGAATTGCTTTAGCTTTAGCCACAGCCACTTTTCCTTCGCTAGCTTCTGTGAAATGATTATGTTCAGCTGGGTGAAAGTGATTTATTGCTAGTTTTTGTGGTGCCCCCCCCACTTTTCTTTGCTGAACTATGGATCTTTACTCATGATGAGTGTGTTTGACTTTTAATTGCACACCTGTTTATGTGTTGAGCACCGTCTGGTCAGTTCATCTCTAGTCTTTGCATTTCCAATGAGGCTTTGTTGATTCAGTTCTGTTTCTTTGTTGGGCTCGGGCTTTGATTGTAACCAGAGTAGATGTTTCCCTAGAAGAAGAATAAATTAGTAGAACACAGAAGCAGGTATCGTAGGCGACAAGATCAAGAAGAAGAGGAAATGAAAGACAAAGCAATGCAGCAGGAAGTGTGTGGGCATGTGTGCATTTGTGTGTGTACATATCACAGCAGCTCTGGACATTTGAGTAATGTAATTATGAAGGGTTTACCTGAAAGTCACAGCAGAATAGATTTTCTACAGTCAAGTGTATTTGCAAGAGAGTGATATTTTGTATCAGAGTGAACAATGACGTAAAAGCCTGCCTTAAGTATTCTAGGAAATCTCTTTGTGAGTGCCAATTTCCTTAGTGAGTCTGAGGTTCAGAAAGAATACAGTCGACCTCTTGGTTCACTTCCCTTTCAAAGCAATGATACATTTAAAATAATTTTTTTCACCATCGTTATGAAACTGAATATAAAGTCAGGGCCGGTTTTTTTTTTGCCATTAGAATCAATCTGAACAAAAGCTGTTTTCATTTTGTTAGACATCAAAGGAAATATATTTAGCTAAGTTCAGGAATCATTGAAGGGTTTTTGAAAGATGAGAGTACAGATTCAAAGACGCTGACCTTATCCCGTTAACCTACAAAGCAACAGATTCGCTGGCTGTCTGCTAGTAGTTTTAGTATCTCCCCGTGTCACTTTATGTGCATCTGTGCTTCCTTGAGCATGCACATTTAGTGTGTTTGTCAGCAAATGTCAAGCTGCTAATTCCCCTTCTCTCTATCTCTGCCCTCTTGAGATTTAATAGATCTCTGACTGATGAAGTGCAGACAGTGTGGAAGGATAAGTGAGGAGTGAGGAACTGGGGTAGGGGTAAACGAAAAAGCTGTTAGAGGAAAGAGGAAGAGGAGGAAGCAAGTTGAAAGAATATGAAAACAAGCAGGAAAGACATGAGTATAAGTAAAGAGGGGAAAGTTGTTTGTAGGGCCATGAAAGGAGGATGAGGAAGAAGGTGAAATTAAGGGTAGAGTAGTGATCTTTGTCGGTGCCAGCTTGTGTTGCCTCCCATGGCTGGACAGCTGCAACCTTCTTCGGGGGCACGATGAATGAGAGAACCAGGTCTCACACACACACACACACGCACACACACACACACACACACACACACACACACACACACTCTGACATGTCCATACAAAGTCCTGTTCTAACAGATGCTAAGCCAGGAATTTGCATACTTCTGTCGTTACCCTGTTAGTGATGTCTCGAGCAGAGGATACCACTGGAGTGGTAACACATACTTAACAGTCACTTCTGCGCTCCCGCTCTCAAGTGTATGCACCAAGGTCTTTCCAAGGATTTCACTTTGACTCAGTCTCATATTGCATAAACATTTCAAAGACTAGACTTTCCTTACTACAACTCATCTAACGGCATTTAGAACAGAAAGATACTGTGAAAATACTGCGATTCAAATTGGTGGTGCATGAACATACAAGCAAACAGATGGGACAGATGTAAAGGTGAGCAAGGTATTGTACCTCTGTTTGTGTCTCCGTGGGTTTCATGAGGCTTTATTCAGTCCCTATGGGATGTTAACAGGAAAAATTAGCTTCAGAGCTTTTTGAGAGTCCCCAAGCTCACTGCGAGTGAGCATTTATGCTGAACACACACAAGGGATTTTAACTGGAGTTCATTGATGTATGTCAGCGTGAAACAAATACACAAAAAAATCAGCACTTTCAGACACGCACACACATAACCACACACACACCATCTGGGAGTACCATAAGTCCACTGTATAAAGTATTCAACTCTCTTGTGTGTTATCCAGATTCCCGAGGGAGGCAATTGGCTGTGACACACATAGTTTATGAGGCTTCACAGTTATTCCTTCTGTTGTTTACTTTCCATTGTGTAACTTTCTACCTGTTCATATTCATTTTGAAGCGAGCAAGTATGTAAAATTGTTATGGTGGCAGGAGTGTGTGTTGGTTTGCCTCTCCTCTCTCAAGATTTTGATTCTCTTTTGGTAGCACAAACTTTACCTCTCTACATTTTTATAAATTCAGCTGTCATAAGTTCCCATACCCAGTCTCCCTGGTTCCTGCGTCTATGTTTCATGTCTATGTGGTTATGTTAAGTTCATGTCATGTTTTATCTCCATGTCTATGTCTCCGTGTTTCCTGTTTTATTTTGTAAGAGTCTGGTGTTCTTTGTTCATTGTAGTTAGTGTTACTCTCCCCTGTATTGTCATTATGTTTCATTCGAGTCAGCTGTGTTCTCATATGTCTCCACTTCCCCTGATCACCTCATGTGTGTATTTAAGTCCTCTGTTTTCTGAATGTCGTTGTCAGGTCGTCTGTTATCTCCACCATTGTCACTGTTATAGTCATAGCACTTCATAGTATTTGTTTCTTAGTGTTTTTTTAGTTTGCTTAGGGTTCCATGTTTAACTCCTGCTATCATCCAAATAAAGGATCGCTTCCTGTTTAAACCTGCAACTCCTCGTCCACATCTGTTTTTAGGTCCCGTTTCAAAAAACACACCGGCGCACCCCGCCGTGACAATTAATTTTATGTATTGTATTTTTAAGCTGCATTGTCATATTATCTTACTCAGGACTCATAACTTAAAGGGAAAGGAAAGGGAAATCTGTTTTTGTTTCCTGTGTCTGAAAGCACATATCCAGTACTGGTTGGGCTCTAGTTTAGATCACGAGGGAGTTGCCAGCTTTTATAGTGAACTCTTCCTCTCCTGCTATTAACTTTGCATTTGTGTATGGATGCCAGTTTATAGAATCCAGTCTACAGTTATTCAGAGCTGCTGCCACTGTGTGATTTTCCTCATATTTATTTATCAGTTTTACTGTTGTGCCAGTAGTTGAAATTCAGCTCCTTCTGTCTCCATTTCTGCGTCGATGCCAGCGTTTCGCTGATACACCCTATAACCAACACCAACACCGAGCCAGGGAATAGTATTGGTGCCATGTATTCTCACTCTTGCCATCTGCCACCCAAACTGTAATTAAATTTCACTTATCTTTTTATGAAGCAGAAGTTAATAGAGCAGGTTTATTCAATCAGGGGATTTTTCACGCCAGCTGGAGTCTCACTGGAGCTTGACTCTGCTGTATACACATCATTGTCCAGAGTTGTATACACACTTTATTTTCAAGTAAGTACATCAGTGAAATTACTTTATCAAATGTGCTGAGTGCGTGAAGTCAAAAACACCACTATATAATAATAAAGCTAAACAAATGTAGTGTACAAACATATCGTTGAGTATTAAGAATATGTGTACGGATATTAGGTCCCGAAAGTGAGACAGCGTGTTAATGAGGCTCTACATTAGTATCGACTATATGAGCAGCTCCCCTAATATTTAAAAATCTATACATGCACTTTGCAGCATGAGTCACGTGTTTATCACAGGATTTTGGTGGACACCAAAATATTAAAAATATTAGTCTGGGACTCCAAAAAAGAGAGCTTATTTCGCATCATAACTGCTGAATGTGTAGATAGGCAATAATTTAAGCAGAACTTTGCCATGTGAACCTAAAATATGATGACATATCAATGTTACGTTCACAACCCGTTTCCATGGCCAGCTGAAAATATTGTTAAACATTTATTGTGGGTTGAAATCAATAATTAATTTCGTTTAGTACAGTTTTTCTGTTTTTCTCATTTTGTTATTCAGATGCAGTCTGTCCCCTGATCATAAAATGACTCATATTTTGTAGCAGTTTTGTGTGTATGTATGTATATTGTGTGCAGGTGCACATGTTGGCTCTTCTAACTTCAATATTAGCACACATAATTAGGAGGGGGAGAGTGAAATGAGTGCCATTGTGGCATATATCTGAAAAGCTCTTGGATGCTTTTAGACATTATCTGCTACAGCTAACAGATTTAAAAGTACAGACACAGGAAACACTAATGCGTCTCACCATTTGTATGCACTTGCACACAAATGGTGAGACAGTAAACAAGGCCTTGGAAAACTTCCTGGCAAACTCCTCGCATTTGGTTTTAAGCTCATTATGTATGTTGCATGGTCAAAGTTGCGGGCTCCATTTGCCAGCAAAAGCAGCTGGAGGTGTTCATGCTGTGTTAGTTAATCAGGATTACTGAGCAAAGCAACGTTTGGACATGACTGTGTCTAATCCACTGTGAAAAGTAACGTGTTGCTCATTTCTCGCTGGGCTGCACTAATTATGTAGCAGCTAGGTGAACATGCATGACAGGACTGTAGCCTTTATGTGAAGAATTGTATAACAGTACAAGTCAAAGTGTAAAAGTTATTTCATTATGAAATTTACATGTTTTGCATAGTATATATTTTTAAAGTTCACATTAGATTTCTAAGAATTTTTACCACAGTGTTTTTCTGTGTGTATATGAAAAATGTTGTTCCATTGGAGCATGAGGAGTAATTCATTGGGGATTTCCATAATTTCCTTTTCAAACACTTTGAAATTCCAATGATATTAATCCTCAAAGTCATTAAAACATTGTGCAGAGTAGAAACTTAACTTTCCAAGAGCTTAGCAATATCTATTATGCAAATATTTCAAAGTGTTATAATGGACATCAGGTTGGAGTGAATGTACTTTATCGTAAACATCTGTACATTATGTGCACATACAGGGCTATTTTAATATCTGTCATAAAAAGAAGAAAACACAAATGTATTTTGGAAATTGGTGAAAAACGTGTTTATACTGATGAATTATGTTGTTTATATTGTTATGTATTAGGCAAATACCAAACAGAGTTCACGTTTTATACCCAAATTTGAGCCGGTGAAGTGAACTTCACTGAGAAGTCAGAAATTAGCATAACAAGCTTTGCTTTCAACCTGTGAAACTATTTTTTTTTCTCTTTTCAGGAATGAAAATAAATAACTGTAATTTGGCATTTTACTATTTTTTTCAGCTTTTTTGTAAAACAGTAAACTTTTAATGATATATTCAAATTTTAGATGACATTTTAGCATAAAAAATAGCTTTTTCATTAAAGACCGTGCACATATTGGTGGATTAACCATTACAGAAACATGTAAAAATTGGTAATTGCTATTATTATTAATTTAGGGTACCTGTGGCATAACTAGACCATCATAAATAAAACATGTTGACTGTAAAATTATGTCAATAAATATGATGTAGAATAGTGAAAATGTTTCAGGCAACAAGAAGACCTACAACAGATGTGATGGCCCCCTTAGATCTATTGTATTTTCACAATAAAATGGAGTTAATCTGGGTTTAAATGAGGAGAAAAGAAACACAAAGAATTAAAACATGATACACTGAATTTTTATACGTTTAACTTCTCATCAGGCCTGTTCATGATTTATTGTGCTCTTCATAGTTCTGAAACTTTGACAAAAACTGTTATTGTTCATTGTAAAACGTGCTGGTTGTTCTTATATTCAGCTTTCTCTCTCTGTTAGTTTGTATTATTGGGTGACTTTGGTTTTTGAGTACATTGGTTTGGAGCTACAGATAATAACTAAAGCTGTTGGGCTTATTTTTGTATTTTATAATGTTATTGGCATTGAGTTATTAATGTAGTCTAAGCACGATTTGAGACTCTCTATTCATATCTGTTGTTGGTCTTAACTAGTTATTAACAATTGGAAAAACTATTCTGGTGATGTATTATTACTATTATCATTATTATTTTAGGTACATTTACAGATTTTTTTTGTGATTATAATTTAATTTAAATACAGCAGAACGTTATAAGAAACCACAAAAAACATGATTTTTGTAAAAACCTTTGTTTAAAGATTATTTATTATTAAACAATGTCCTTTCAAGTTTTCTTATGTTCCCCATCTACAGACCTTTATTTTAACTCTTCTATAACAATGTGTACTCTTTCAGATCCTCGTTCATGTAGGCTTCCTAACTGAGGAGTCTGGAGATGTTTTCAGCCCAAAGGTGTTGAAGGGAGGGCCTCTAGGTGAAATGGTCCAATGGGCTGATATCCTCACTGCACTTCATGTTCTGGGACACAACCTCAAGATCTCCATGTCTGTCAAGGAACTTCAGGGGTGAGTTCTTTGTGCGCGAGATCTAACAAACCAGCGTTGGAGTGATTGGTTAGCAGTGGTTATCTTGATATCTTAATTATATAGAGCTATAGAGCTAATTGTTATGGGATGCTGTGTCAGACAGAGAGTGGACCCAAGTGCAGGACTCTGCAGACAAACATAAACTCAAAACACAGCTTTATTAGCTCGCACCGGCAAACTTAACAAAACATAAGGCGGCGTTAACTGGAGAGGACTGACTGAAACACTGACAGACTGGAGCGCGCACAGCATGAAGGAATATGATGATGAAATGACGTAGAACAGAAGGAAATTAGGGACTTAAATATACACATAAGGCAATTAGAGAGATGGAACACAGCTGGGGAAAACAAGACACAGGTGAGCGAAGTTTGAGTAATGACAGGGGAAGCAAAACTGAATATAAAGCACACATGACAAGAGACTGTCAAACTAAAACAGGAAACTAACGCAGACTGAGACAAATGGACTTGACAAAGACAAAGGAAGAATAAAAAGAGACATGACAGACCACAGAGACAGGCCACAGAGGGACCAGGCAGCACAGAGACATGACTGGGGAAACAGACCAGGACGACACAGAGAACAATGACCAAAACCACTCAAGAAACTGTAAGACTTCAAACATAAATCCTTAAAAAAAAACAAAGGTAAACAAGAATACTCTAAACTAAAAAATAAGAAACTGCAACTCCAAACACTGAACATGAAACTAATGTTTCTTGTGTACAGATTGGGGAAAAAAAGGCATATATCCATCTATTTCATCCGTTTGCTAGCTGTTAATAGGATGAAAAGTAGAGTAAACTCCGGACAGGGCTAGCACAGAGAGACAGAAAACCATTTACATTCACATTCACACTAACAGCCAATTTAGCCAATCAACTGATGCATTGTGTTTTTGTAATTTTGCATTTAAAGTCTGCTCATTTCCACTTAACGCCAGCATTAGCATCGAGGTTTCTAAGGTCCTGTCGCTGAATTGATCTGTTGCCGTATTGATCTCACGTAGGCTCAATCTGCAGCTTGATGTCAGTGCGACTACATTGGTGATTTTTCTTTTCCGTCCCGTGTCAGGATGATTACGCGTTTCTGCTTACTGATAAAGCTGAACTAGAGCCAGCACACACAGACATATGCATGGATGTAAATTTGTCGTGATTGAAAAGATCCTTCAAGCGTTGTCAAGTCTAAGTAATCAGGTTCATAGTCAAGACTGAACAAATCATAGGGGTTGTCATCTTCAATGTCAAGGAATAGCTAATGTTTGAAAGAAGAATTATGAACAGGCATATTGTGAGAAGACAGCTGACTCATAGGTGACGTCTTTGTTCGGCCTCGATTGAGCTGCTAGTCTTTGTCTTTCTGTCGTCGTCGATCAGCGCAGTGACACAGGTACAGAGTATAGATCAATATAATGGTGCCTACAGAGGCCCGGCTGTTCTCTGCATTTCATACTGTGCTCTGCTCCGGACATCTCTCACAAATCATAGGAGAAGCATTGTATTGATGCCCAGCCTTTGGCAGACATTCTGTAGACATATAACGCAGCTTCAGGGGCCAAGAGAGTGTGGGACAATTTAGAAGAATTTCATATATAAAAAAGTGACTTTTGAGATTGATGGCACAATCGTTTTTGCTGCATGCACGTCACTGGAGTTTCTTGAGACCCACATTTTCGGATTTATCTGCCTGACATTGTGGGTCGTGATGTTTTAGGTGAGTGCACAGGGTATATTACCACACCAGTATGACCAATTTGTGTATTCACTTTAGCCAGTTTCTCAGTCTCACTTGTAACTGATGGATTGCTCGTTCTCTCTCGCTGCATCTCTCACGTTACCCTCAAACCTGTCAATGTTAAAGTAAAGCTTTTAATGCTTTTCACAGTGATCGTTATACTAACATGTAATAAAGGATAATGTAACACTGGGTCCATTCAGTGAACCCAGTAATGACAAGTTCAATTCTCAGAAGAGGATGCATTGTGAGGCACAGCTTTGTGCTGCTATGACGTGCAATTATACTGTATGTTTAGCTTCAATATATCCTGCCACACGGCGAAGCTGCACACAAGTACATAGTGATTTGTTATTTAAAAAGCATAAGTATTGATTTTCTGTTTTTAGGCGTTGTGAAATACACGGGGGGCTTTTTTTTGTCAACGAATGAATTAATTAAAGAATTCCCTCAACACTGCTGCATTTCTGTGTTAGGGCTGCATTCTCAGATAGTGGCTTTGTGTACATTCACACCATGCCCTGCGAATGCAATTATCACAGTGTGTTAGTAAACAGGCTGGAAAACAGGGAGCTTTTTGGTTTGATTACCTCGCAATGTAATTATCAGTGGTTCACACAGAAAAAGCCTCAGATGCAAATCAGCAGACACATTCATGAACAATGCATTGCTGTTGTTTTATTTCGTATTAATACTGTAATTTTATTAGTATTTTAACACGGATGTTGTGTTTTGGGGGGGTTGCAGATATTGTTGAGTCCAGATGGACAAAATGACCAAGTCAAATGAAAAAGCAGGCAAACAGACAATAGTTGCCCTAAAGATAAGGCTTGGTTAGATCTGAGACCAAACACAGATTTGGAAACATCTCGCTTTCCTTTGGGCAACATTGAGCAGTGTTAAAATAAAACTGAGCAAAAAAGTGTCCAGGGTCTGTCCTTTTCCACCGTTTCTCATTCCTGCATTGTGGTGGGTGTGTGGGTGCATAGTGGGTACAGTATTGCTCTCATGACAACATCTGAAAGTTGCGATTGGCTTAGGAGGAAGCAGGGTAGCTGTAATTGGCCACTGTGGGAATGATTAGGTGTTGTGTTTTCTTAGTGTATCACTCCCCTTTTTGTAGTTTTCAATCTGCACTGCAGTCACGTGGCTGGATATTATTTACTAGAGATGAGTGAAAAGAGCATGTCGAGACTTACTAAGGCATTGGAGCTATTGACTAAAATGACTTCTTTTAATAAAACTCACAATAGATTAAACTTTAAGGTATTGTTTATTTTAAAAAAAATGTCTGTGACAAATCAAAATCATATTTCATCCTGAAGGCTGTCAGCATGCAGATCAGACCGATGTTTGTTGGAAACAATGGCTGGAAAGGACAAAAAGAGAGTTCAGCAAAGTGCCGAGGTGGCATCTTTAGAGTTTATATTTGGTATTCAAATATGCAGATAGTTTTTGAAGGCTCACTAATGAATGCTATTCTTTTGTTTGGAATCTCACAGCATCCGTCATTTATGCACAAAGCAGAAATTTCACACATTTACCACATGTTACCTGACCACACACTGCAGCACACACATCTCAGTTAATTCAGTACAGGTCTTTGCGTTTCACCATTTCTGCTGAGTATGCACTCCTCACATTGTGGAATACTGAGGAGCTTGATGGAAATAAAGCTGAATTTGATGCCAGTTAGATTGCCAGGGTACCTGAGATGTATTAGTGTTAGAGGGAGAGCAGACACGGCTCTCCTGCTCATTACCAACTTGAGGGTCTGGAACACAGAGAGCTGCTCCCAGTCGTTGAAAAGCTAGATGGTCAGCACCTTTTGTGCCTTATCCTGCCACTACTGTTATGTGACATAAAGAAGCTTTAATAATACTGGAAGATGAAAGAAAGTGGCACAGGCTAAAAGCGCAATGGCCTCTTACAGTACAGTGCCCACAGGACACACGATACACAGCGAAGAAGTAAGTACAGTGAAGTAGCCTGGAAAATTGTTCATTTTCTGGTGCATCATCCTGGTGGCTTATGTTCACAGAGCATGTGTTGAGCGTAACATGAAAACTAAAAACGTGGCATTGTGGGGACGGTTCACAGAGATGACATGTGGAAATCAAAAAATGTGCCTGCTAAAAACTGTAAACATATTAAATCTACTATATTTTATTAACGTCGGTTTGAAAATGTGCCACAAGAAATTTCTTCCCCTTTGCATTTTATTGCTGAAGAGTACAAAATCTAACTGATCTAACTACAGTTATATTTGATCTAACTTACCTGGGTAATGGGAAAAGGCAGTTTTAATTTTTATTGAGGATTTTTTAAGCTATTGTTTTAAATAAGAGATCTATTATACATAGTATTGTAATAATATTTGATCATTATAACCTGCTTTTTTTACTTTGCTTTATTTTTTCCACTTTGAGTTTGTCTTACATGTAATAATTGCTTATTTTAAAAAGACAGTACTCCCCGTCCCACCTCCCTCAAACTCTGTCATGGTTATTTAAGAATCATAGCACGTAATAAAACTGCATCATCTGGTTTGATAGCAGTCGAAGATCTTTATTACAAGTCAAAATCCTTATCTCCCCTTGCTTCCTAGTTTCTCTGCCTCAGTACTGTCAACTCTTAGGCATCAATAAAAATGAAAAAGACACAAAAAAAAAGGAGGAAATTGTTAAAAATATCTTCAGTCACGTCGCAAAGATTCGCTTTCTTCTTCTCATGCACGCCCTCTCCATGGATTCCTCAAAATTAAAGTGTCAAGCTACACAGCAGCATCCCTATTGCAGGTAATTTCTCAATTAATGTGAAGTTTCAGATTCAGGCATGGAGCTGAAAAGAGACAGTAGCACTGATTTATCATCGTCTACACAGAACTGTGTGTTCTGTATATTTTACTGCTAATTTAGTTCCATGTAGAGCTACCACATTCTCATTTTTACCTGCACCTGCAGTCCTACAACTAGCTGCAATTATTTAGCAGCATTTTCAACAATTAGTGTTATTAGGGCTATTGCCTCGAGGCATTTCTACTATCGTTGCTTATTTTAATCATTATTAACACCGAGATCTGAGTAACTGCATCTCGTTCTGTAAGGTTTTCTTCACGGTGAATGACAACAGAATACTTGATCCTTGTAATGCTGCTGTTATAAGAAAATCACATTTTCCAGTCAGTTTGTCTTTTGAAGCTTCACAAAAGCTGATGTTTCAAGCCAGGAGACATGACA